GGGGGGGATTCCAGAGCTGGGCTTTAAAGTGTGGGTGAATGTAGGTTTTCAGCTAGGACAAGTCATATGTATTAGTCTGTAAGTCACTCTGCAGTGTGTGTATTCTGATCTCCCTACTATTCAGATCTCTTTTGGTGCAGGAGCAGTTATGTGAGCCTTCGGGAAACTAGTAATGTGGCTTTAGAGCTCGCTGCTTCCTCTCTGGGAGTTTTATGCATGAAGTTTTCATATGCAAAATGTATGAATGTTCTTTATTTTTAATCCCAATCATAATACATTGTAATAATAATACATTCAAATCATAATAAATTGCATAGAGATCATAATCATTGTCATACAGAAAAAAACCAAACCGGATACACCCTTGAAATATGTCTTCTCCATTTTACATGCATTCTGCATTCCTATCTCTGATAAAGCCCCTCGGTTCAAGTTCCAGTGTCTCCTCTTGCCCTGGTTAACCAGAGCGTACCGGGCGATCCGGCAGAGTCTGTACTGAGATGCTACAAATGGTCTAACGAGCGGATACAACAACAGGAACTGTATCAACTCACATTTAGAAAACGGATACAAACACATCTCTTGGTTTCCGCTATGCCGGTTTATTAAACATTGATTTGATCGTGTCCATTTATTAGAGGTTTATTATAATGATCTGACCTGGTTATTTATTATATGAATTACATTTGTAAGGACTGGGAGGACTTCCGTCCACCAGTAGCCAACCTGCCATTCTCGGTTCGCAGCCAGGAATCGCAGCTAATGGAGGTAATGGAGTTTATTTAAAGTGTATGTATAGCCTGACAGGGAAGAATTCACCATCAATGGTATTCATCATAATATCTATGTCATGTGTCTGTTCCATCAATGAGTCTAAGGGGCTGATTTATAATAATATATATATACAGTATATCTTATATATAGAATATATATCATCTACCACCACTAGATGGAGCCGTGGCACATGGGAAATTCCTAACATTAATGAGCCAACAAGTTTTGGGGGCTCCAAACGCTCCCCCTTCATCAGGGCTCGTCACACTGCAATCAGCCGGCACGTACAGCTCCGTGCTGCGTGCACGGCCGTATCGGGCGGCTTCCGGGAAGGACGTGTGCTGCGTGTGATTAGTACGCAACCCCCGTCCTCTATGGGACTACGCAGCCGTACGCCGCCCTACACTCACCCCAAGTGCAGGACCGTACGGGTGCGGGTGTCTCAGCTCGGACGCAGACAGGATCTATTCTGTCAGCGTACGAGTACGGACACCCGCACGGATGTGCAGCGCGGGTGAGCGTGGGGCGGCGTACGGCCGCGTACTCCCATAGAGAAGGACGTAGGGGCTGCCTACTAATCACACGCAGCACCTGTCCTTCCCGGAGATGCCCGATACGTTTGAGCTGTACGTGCCGGGCCGTTTCGCGTGTGAATGAGGCCTTAAGGTGCCCATACACTGCTCGATTCTCGTACGAGAATCGCGCAGTGTGAACGAAGACGTGCGACCGTTTCTACTGTACGGTCGCACGTCTTTTGTCTAAGGAGCACGGTAGAAAACCAGCCGAGAATCGTACGATTTTCGGCTGGTTTGAACGATGCTCGGGAGACAAATGCCGAACGGGCCGGTGTGCGCACGCGCACGCTGCCCGTTCAGCATTGCGGTCATCGGAAGCCCTCCCCTCAGGGGGGCGGGCTTGCGATGATCGAGAGTACGATCTGCCTGTCCAAGATAGGCAGATTGTACGTTTTTTACTTACTTTACAACCATCGCAAGACTACGGTCTTGTGATTCTTCCCTTGTGAGTCCGTTAACCCCATGCAATATTCAAACCCTGATGAAGGGGGAGTGTTTTAAGCCCCCCGAAAATGCGCCCATGTGACGAATCATTGAAGCTACGTGACCTCTTTTATTATTTGGCCTGGCTCTCCCGTTGTATTTGTGAGGGTCATTCTTGGTACCCACCAAAGGGGAACCCTGCTTTACTATGGGCAGCCTCACCAGAACCAGGGAGCTTGCTGCAAAATTCTATTTCCTCCCTTTTATTGAACATTTTGAATCCCCGGCTATACGTTTACACCTTAACCAAATTCCAGCCATTTTTCGATGACTCCGCCCCGGTTTTAGCTGTAATGGATGGGATAATAGTCGCCAGCTCCAGGCAGCGGTATGGGGGAGCAGTTCTTGCGGCCCGGCTTTATCATAATCCCGGTGGTTTTACAGGGGTTCTTCTCATGGCATATGTCGCCCCAGTACACCTCGCCGTCCGTATTGAGGAGAGCCGAGCGACAACTGTGGAACCACCACCCGCCTTTCAATTCAGCAGCACAGTTGCGGTCCCACCGGTCGTTGTCCTTGTCCCTGGTGGAGAACTTCATGTTGTCATGAGTTCCTGTCTCGTTCCAGGCAGTGAGGGCATCGCCAGCGTTGCCGGAGTACTCGCCCAACCTCAGGGAATATCCGCTGGCCTCGCTGTCCACCCTGAAGCTTGAATAGTCGGCATAGTGCTGCTTATCCTGACTGTCCACCAAGAGGAACCTGACAGTGAAGGCGCTCTGCCTGGTGAGCAGATAGATCAACTCATTGCCCAGCCAGTGACTGCCCTGGAGGTCACCAAATCCATCTCTGTATTCCTGCCAGTCATGTGACCCGAAGGAGGTGTGGTCTCCGGGCATTTTCCTCTGCAGAACAGTCCAGCCGGCCCCGTCGGAGCTGAGGTCACAATACACCGCCAGCGGGGGGGAGTTTTTGGGCCAGATGACGTAGAGTCCACTTCTCCTTCTTAAGTTCAAGTACACTGCTCTGCAGTCCTTTGCCACCAGTTCTGTTAATATATAAAATTATTGTTAAACAAGGGAAAAAAACAGCGTGAAGGATAATACACCGATCAGCCATAACATTGTGACCAGTGACAGGTGAAGTGAATAACAGTGATTGTCTGGTTACAATGACATCTGGAAGTGGGGGGGATATATTACAATGGACCGTTGAACCGGTGACAGGGTAATGGGGGGCCAAGGCTCATTGATGCGTGTGGGAGCGAAGGTTGTTCTATGTATTCCAATCCCAATTCCAATAGAAGAAACACAGGAGCTCAAATTGCTAAAAAAAAGTTAATGCTGGCTCAGATAGAAAGGTGTATGAACACCGGTCAGGGGGCCCATGCTGATCCGTGTCCACCGCCAAAAGCTCCTACAATGAGCACGTGAGCATCAGAACTGGACCACAGAGCGATGGAAGAAGGTGGCCTGGTCTGATGTACATCATGTGGATGGTCGGGTGCGTGTGTGTCGCTTACCTGGGTAGCACCGGGGATGTACTATGGGAAGAAGACAAGCCGGCGGAGACAGTGTGATGGGCAATGTACTGCTGGGACACCTCGGGTCCTGCCATTCATGTGGATGTCCCTCTGACACCAACCACCGACCTAAACATTGTTACTGACCACGTCCCCCCCTTCATGGACACGGTATTCCCTGATGGTTCCAGAACAATATTTATGCAATGCTCTGGAATTAGTAGCAGTGTTGTCAGCCTGCTGTGTGTGTTGCTTTAGCTGACCGTTGGGTTTCCTGTCTGTGCAGACCAAATAGGCAGCACAATGACCCACTGAAAGAGCCAACTAGTGATGGGCTGCATGTTCGACTCGAGCAAAGCCTGTTCTAGCGTTCGCTGACTGCCGAGCATTGCGGGATGTTCGCGGTATGTTCAACCACGGAACATCCCACAATGCACTGCGCCCTCCGAAACTGTAATTGGCTACAGTCTTGCACCTGACCTTGGGTCAGGTGCAAGACTGTGCCAATCAGGGCTCAGTACACATTTAGAGCCATGATTGGGCAAAGTCATGATGACTCTGCCCAATCATGTCTCACAGCTAAGTCCCTGCAGCACACTATATAAGGCTGCTGACACCGCGGCCCTAAGTAGTGTGTTGTAGGAGATAAAGAGAGAGAGAGTTCTAGTAGAGTTAGTGACAGCAGATTTATTGAGATTGATAGAGAGTTATAGCAGAGTTAGATATATATTAGAGTTCTATTTATTAGAGAATCACTAAATTACCAATACCCACTTACCGGCAATTTAAATGTCATTTTTTGCTTCAGCAGGTCCTATACATCATACGGATGCGCCACTTTACAGGCAGTGAAAGGGGACCCCCCAGGCACCATATTTAAAGGAATTTTTCATTTTTAATGTTTCGTTTTAAGTGATGTTAAATCACTGCTCCTTTAAAATTTTTTTTTTTTTCATTGATACATGTCCCCCAGGGCAGTACCCGGATACACTTATTATGGCCAATAAATTGCATATAAGGCTTCAAAATGGGGACATTTCATTTTCTGAGTTCTACCCCCATAGACTTACATTGAGTTCGAATTAGAACCGAGCATAGGGGTGTTCGGTTCATCCCTAGAGCCAACATGGCAGGCTGACAAAGCTACTTAAAGTGGAGCTTGAAGTAAAATGCAGGGACCCCTACAGTCACTCATTACATTTCCTTATGGGGTTATCTTCTAACACATTCTAATGTAAACCTCGCCCATGGGCACTTCACCATCCATGTACATTGAGACATCGGCGTCCAGTAATATTCTTCTCTGCCAATACAGAATATGAACCCAATGTGTTAACCCTTTTAATGGCGACACCCACCTTGGTAGACCCCGGAGGTTGGGACGTTGATCAGCTGTCCAAATTGCGCCTCGCTGATGAGGTGTTTGTTGGCGATCTGATGGTACAGCTCTTGGCGGGTGACGTGAGTCAAGAAGGCATTGCATGTGATCCCGGTGAAGGTGAGCAGGAAGAACGAGCAACAAATCCACTGAGGAACCATTCTGAAAATGATGGAAAAAAAGGCGGAAAATGAGTGTTGTGACAATGGAAAAATGTGGAATTTATGGCGGGAGGCTGAGCAATGTAACCTCACTGGAAGCCATTCATATCATTGTGCTGAAGGAGGGGGAGGTGATGCTGGAACGCAAACATGCAACGCTCAAATCAACTCTCTGATAAAGTCAGCTAAATATATTCCCGCTGCATTAAATCACAATGTGTGCAAAAAAGTAGAAAAGCCTGTCACCTGCCAGCACTCTGCAGAGAAGGATGCTTGCTCTCTGTGTGGAAGCAGTGGTCTCTCTGCAGAGGAGCAACACCACCACACCAGCCGCTGAGTCACACCCAAAGCTCTCGTACCAGCAACATGTATAGTGATATGTGTAAAATCACGCTGCTGCACCGGGACACCTCTGCATTGTATCATCACTAACACTATCTGAGCTCCCGACACTGAGAGCAGCTTATCCCGAGCTTCCGCAATACTGATAGACTTTAATGTGGGAGTGCGCCAGGAAAAGTCTGTATTGCTCTGATCTGTGTCCACCTTTCCTATAGCTAGTTCTAAATTGATGAGAGAGAGGCAGACTGTAAATAGATGAGTGAGAGAGAGAGAGAGAGAGGCAGACTGTAAATAGATGAGATAGGAGAGGGAGGGAGAGAGACTGTAAATAGATGAGATAGGAGAGGGAGGGAGAGAGACTGTAAATAGATGAGAGAGAGAGAGAGAGAGAGAGAGAGAGAGAGAGAGAGAGAAGTTCTAGTAGAGTTAGTGACAGCAGATTTATTGAGATTGATAGAGAGTTATAGCAGAGTTAGATATATATTAGAGTTCTATTTATTAGAGAATCACTAAATTACCAATACCCACTTACCGGCAATTTAAATGTCATTTTTTGCTTCAGCAGGTCCTATACATCATACGGATGCGCCACTTTACAGGCAGTGAAAGGGGACCCCCCAGGCACCATATTTAAAGGAATTTTTCATTTTTAATGTTTCGTTTTAAGTGATGTTAAATCACTGCTCCTTTAAAATTTTTTTTTTTTTTTCATTGATACATGTCCCCCAGGGCAGTACCCGGATACACTTATTATGGCCAATAAATTGCATATAAGGCTTCAAAATGGGGACATTTCATTTTCTGAGTTCTACCCCCATAGACTTACATTGAGTTCGAATTAGAACCGAGCATAGGGGTGTTCGGTTCATCCCTAGAGCCAACATGGCAGGCTGACAAAGCTACTTAAAGTGGAGCTTGAAGTAAAATGCAGGGACCCCTACAGTCACTCATTACATTTCCTTATGGGGTTATCTTCTAACACATTCTAATGTAAACCTCGCCCATGGGCACTTCACCATCCATGTACATTGAGACATCGGCGTCCAGTAATATTCTTCTCTGCCAATACAGAATATGAACCCAATGTGTTAACCCTTTTAATGGCGACACCCACCTTGGTAGACCCCGGAGGTTGGGACGTTGATCAGCTGTCCAAATTGCGCCTCGCTGATGAGGTGTTTGTTGGCGATCTGATGGTACAGCTCTTGGCGGGTGACGTGAGTCAAGAAGGCATTGCATGTGATCCCGGTGAAGGTGAGCAGGAAGAACGAGCAACAAATCCACTGAGGAACCATTCTGAAAATGATGGAAAAAAAGGCGGAAAATGAGTGTTGTGACAATGGAAAAATGTGGAATTTATGGCGGGAGGCTGAGCAATGTAACCTCACTGGAAGCCATTCATATCATTGTGCTGAAGGAGGGGGAGGTGATGCTGGAACGCAAACATGCAACGCTCAAATCAACTCTCTGATAAAGTCAGCTAAATATATTCCCGCTGCATTAAATCACAATGTGTGCAAAAAAGTAGAAAAGCCTGTCACCTGCCAGCACTCTGCAGAGAAGGATGCTTGCTCTCTGTGTGGAAGCAGTGGTCTCTCTGCAGAGGAGCAACACCACCACACCAGCCGCTGAGTCACACCCAAAGCTCTCGTACCAGCAACATGTATAGTGATATGTGTAAAATCACGCTGCTGCACCGGGACACCTCTGCATTGTATCATCACTAACACTATCTGAGCTCCCGACACTGAGAGCAGCTTATCCCGAGCTTCCGCAATACTGATAGACTTTAATGTGGGAGTGCGCCAGGAAAAGTCTGTATTGCTCTGATCTGTGTCCACCTTTCCTATAGCTAGTTCTAAATTGATGAGAGAGAGGCAGACTGTAAATAGATGAGTGAGAGAGAGAGAGAGAGAGGCAGACTGTAAATAGATGAGATAGGAGAGGGAGGGAGAGAGACTGTAAATAGATGAGATAGGAGAGGGAGGGAGAGAGACTGTAAATAGATGAGAGAGAGAGAGAGAGAGAGAGAGAGAGAGAGAGAGAGAGACAGACTGTAAACAGATAAGAGAGAGAGAGAGAGAGAGAGAGAGTCTGTAAATAAATAAGAGAGAGAGAGAGACTGTACATTGATAGGAGAGAGAGGCTAAAATGTATTTGGTCGTGCTAATAAAGCTAATTTGAATTGAATTGACTGAAAATAGATGAGAGAGAGAGAGACTGTAAATAGATGAGAGAGAGAGAGAGAGAGAGACAGACCTACAAGCCCAGGGAGAGTAGACTTTGTCAGCAGTGTGACAAGGGGGCCCTGGAAGATGAGGGCCACTTCCTGCTACAGTGCCCCAAGTACTCAGCACTGAGCGACATTCACTTCCAGAGACTCTCCGCTCTCATCCCGAACTTCACCTTTATAGAAGAGATGAGGAGACTCCGCATTGTACAGGGAGAAGAGGAACCGATGGTGAAAATATCTGCACAATACGTCACAGACTGAGAGGAACACGAGAGATCCCGGACTTATAAATCCCCAACATGGACTCACCCCAATCCCCCCTTCATTTTATCCCTTACCCCTGATAATGTCCCTGGACTTACCTATTCCTCCCATATCATCCTGTACCCCTAATAATGTTCAACTAACGCCCCCCGTCCCCCCCATATGCTTTGGCAATACTAAAATGTATTTGGTCCTGCCAATAAAGCTTATTTGAATTGAAGAGAGAGAGAGAGAGAGACTGTAAATAGATGAGAGACATACAGACAGACAGACAGACAGAAAGATAGACAGACAGATAGATAGATGTTATAAACGTACTTCGCTCCTTGCGGTGAGGTCTGGGGGGGAATTTTCCTCGCAGTGCTGGATTTGGTTTTCCTCTAATATTTTATAGGTGTGTAGATTTGGGGCGGAGGAGGAGGGCGGCTGTTTGCAGACATTTATAACATGAGCGGAGGTTGAATGTCTCACCAATCAGAATGTGAATTATCTCCACGTATCAGAATTCACAGAGCTTCCAATGTGACAACAATGATATAAACTTATAATGTACGATGATCACTTCCACTGACAGTATCTTTGGACTCATTTTATAGGGAGCTCTCCCCGAGGTCACAGGAAACCCCCTCTTAGTTGTCACCGGACACGTGTCCCTATTGAACAATTTCCCCTCTTTTCCTGTTCCAGTGATAAGTATAAATACTTTGGATTTATTTATAAGTTACTATCCTGCTGATAGAGAAGGTGAGTCTCCCCAGCAGAGACGCAGAGAGAAGTACTGATCCTTCTACACTCGATCTAAAGCTAAAAAAGTAAAAATTAGATATACAGAATATACACTATATTGGCAAAAAGTATTGGGCCCCTCCCCCTCCAAATCATTGGATTCAGGTGTTCCGTGACATTTCCTGGCTACTAAATATTCCGCCGCGGTCACCTGTTACTGGGATTATAACAAAGTGGAAGCAACTGGGAACAACAGCAACTCAGCCAGGAAGTGGTCGGCCACGTCACATGACAGAGCGGGGTCAGCGCATGCTGAAGCGCACAGTGCGCAGAAGTCGCCAACTGTCTGCAGAGTCAATAGCTACAGACCTCCAAACTTCATGTGGCCTTCAGATTGGCGCAACAACAGTGCGTAGAGAGCTCCATGATGATATAGTGTATATATATTAGTTATCTGAATTTGACTTGGTATCAGTCTCATCCAGTTCCTATTCAGCACAGCTGGCTGGGAAAAGGAGAAGCTGCACAAGTAGCCAATCAGCTGTACTGCAGCGCTCATGTGCTAAAAAGGGACATGCTGATAGGAGGAGAGAGAGCAGAGTGACAGAGAGATGAGCTAATCCGTCTGCTGCTTCTCCTTTCATTGTCCAATCCCAAGCTGGGGGAGGGAAAAGACCTGTGAGTGTTACTGACCTGCCCTGACAGATGGAGCTGTGCTGTGTGGGAGAGCTAAGTAACTCTAAGTACTGGATGGACAGAAATACAAATCCTTCGGCAGGAAAATCCCGGAGTTCAGCTTCAATGTTTTTTTCTGAATCTCCTTTCTATTTCAAAGACCAACTAGACTAAATTATTTGTTTCCCTTTTTTATGCAACCATGGCAATAGTATTGACTTTGTATTCACATTTGTCCAGATTTTTTTTTTTTTCCACAAGCCAAAATGTGGTCTAAGGTCACATCTGTCGGAGGTTTCCATTTTTCTGGCCACCGAGCCACTGTATACAAGTGCAGTCATCTGGACATAAACTCCTCTGACTGGAGGACGGGGAAATCACATGACCTTTAAATGTTAATAAAGTTATTTTATGGCACTTCGCCTGTTTACTTGAACTTTCGCCGAGCTGCATTATCCGGGAATTAAATGATAATATATTTTATGGGCAGTTTGCGCAGTGACCGCACCAGCTGCCCGCCGCGTCACCGGGGAAGATCATAAACTGGAAGGCGTTCGGATGAAGGGAGGCAGCTGGGCAGTAAAATGGCCGCTTCGGATTTATCTGCCGTTTTATGTCTGATCGCTATTTCCTTCTACGTGGAAAGTAAACAGCGCGGCCTCTTCCCGGACAACATGGCGGCCTTGCCAACCCCCCCGCCGCGCAGTCTCCACTCTCCACATGTTGG